CCTCGAGATCGTCGCGCAGACATCCTCCAGCACTTCCACCCTGCATGCGCCACGCAGCCCCGACCCAGATTAGGGTTTAGGGTTTAGGGTTTAGGGTTTAGGACAGCAAGTGTTGGCAGCAGCAATTGAATTGTGTTGGAGTGTCTCCAAATTCGAAATAAAGCTGCTGCAGCTGCTGCTGCTGCTGCTGCTGCATCCCCAGACTTACGTAGCAGCAAACGGCGAGTGCAGCCACACTGCGGGGGCCTCTGCCTTCTCAAGCGCGTTGACGTTCTCCAGCACTTTGCACACAGTCTCTTCGTGCGCCTGCAGCAGCAGCAGCAGCAGCAGCAGCAGCAGCGGCACGGGCAGCTCCCTTGAGCAGCAGCAACGGGCACAAAGGCAGCAGCGCCAGCAGCAGCAGCGCCTTCAGCCCCCCCAAAGCAGCTCTCCCTTGGTTTTCGCTGCCCCCGCCAGCCCGGCGCAACAGCAGCAACAGCAGCAGCAGCAGCAGCAGCAGCAGCAGCAGCAAGGACGCACTGCCGTCTGGACGGCCTGGAGAAAGGCCTGCAGCGTGACGTTGGCCCTGATGAGCAGCAGCTTTCGTCTCAGTGCAAAATCGGAGTTGAAGGAGACACAAAGTTTGCGGAGACAAGCAGCTCTTGCTGCTGCTTCTGCTGCTGACCCGGAGGGCCAGCACGGCAGCAGCAAACCCTCCCGCTGCAGGCACGGCTGCAGCACGCGCAAGCACCGGCAGCAGCAGCAGCACTGGCTGCAGCAGCAGCAACAGCAGCAGCAGCAGCACTAGCTGCAGCAGCAGCACTGGCAGTAGCAGCAGCAGCAGCGGGACTAGCTGCAGCAGCAGCAGCTGCTGCTGCTGAGAGCGCGCTCGAGAGTCCCGAGCCTCCTGGCAGGGCCCCTTGGTTTGCTGCTGCTGGTCTCCTGCTGCTGCTCTTTTGCATCTCTGTGTCTCTTTGCTGTTTTTCTCGCCAGCAGCCCGCCCGCCCTCCTGTGCAGCAGCAGCAGCAGCCTGCTGCAGCAGCCTGCTGCAGCTGCCTGCTGCAGACCCTGCTGCAGACCCTGCTGGAGAACCTGCTGCAGCACCCTGCTGCAGCACCCTGCTGCAGCACCCTGCTGCAGCACCCTGCTGCAGCACCTAGCTGCAGCAGCAACAGCTGCAGGGCTCCCTGGGGGAAGCAGCCACTTACTTTGCGCGCCAGTGCAGCAGCAGCAACTTGGAGGGCCTGGGCCATTTGCTGCGGGGAGGAGTTGCTGGGGGGCGGCACAGCAAGAGAAGCACAAATGGAGTTTAGGGTTTGCTGCAGCTGCTGCTGCAGCTGCTGCTGCTGCTGCTGCGGAGACCGCGC